CGTTATGACTAATGAATTACATTTGTGTTGTAACAGATGGTAAAGTTGACCGAATGAACTATTTTATAAATAATAATAATGCCAATTAAACAACGGATGATAAACAAATGTTTGGCCCTCGTCTTTAAACAGATAAAATTGAAATAATTCGGTACAAAATGTCAGATTTGTCTGAAATTCTTAAAGATTTTAAGGCTGTTTTGTAATGGATGCTCTATTAGAACTAGGTCATGTTGAATTTAACGATTGTAAAATAGTTTATGAATATTAAATCTACAATACACGCCTTTAACGAAGGGATAGGTTCTACTTGGAGCTTTTCTTGCTTCGTTCCTGGCATCGTCTCTTGCTATTGTCTTACCATTGTCTTCTCTAGTACATCCTGGATTCGGTCCTGATATGAACAAGGCCCTCCCCGACGCGACCTTACCATCCACGGTTGCCTTAGCCAGACTTACCTCTCTTGCTTTCATGACATTCATTCGTTGGTTATTTGGACTATTGACCTGTCTCTTCTCTAGCACGTCCAGGATTTGTTCCAGGTATAAACAAGGCCTATCCGACCCGACTCTACCCTACCTTCCACGCCTGCCTTATATCTATCTCTTCGTTCTGCATCAAACCATCTAAGCATTCTCTTTCGTATTATTGTCTTTACAAAATACACGCCTTTATTAAATACTCGTTCAAATTATATAGTTATAAGTAACTAGTATTATTTCCGTAATTTTATATGAAATATATACTTAATAATAATGCAATTTTAGACTTATGAAGCCTGAGGTGCTGTGCTCAGCATCATTGGATTTGTGGGCGTAATTAAAACTTAAAAACTGAAGGATAATATTGTGAAGAAACCGGCAGATCTCAAACAGTTTACAGTGCGATAGCAAAAATACTTGTAAAGCTATCGAAATTGAGGGTTGTAATGCCATAATTTATTGAATAATTGCAGGATTTAAAGATATGTTTGTTCCTCAATTGTTACGTTATTGTTTGTTGTTTAGTTCTGTCTGTTATCAGAAGTGGTTATAGGTCACACAGTTTAGATAAGCGATGCGCTCATAGACAGTACGACGACTGTTTTGTTTACTTCACTTAAATGTACTAATGTAATCAATAATTTCTAGATAGAGAGATAAAGTCCACAGCAATTCACACTACACCACGCCGCAAAACACTTCAAATGTATCTCACTCTCTCATTCTCTTACATTACCTCAGTGTGTTTCCATCGTGTTCGGTCTTGAGCCTCGTATTTCACCTAGCTCCAAGTCTTTTTATGTCATCTGAATATGATTGAGATCCCTTCGGATTGTATGGCCTATCCATTTCTATTTGCGTCGCTTGATCTGCTGGCTTATCGGAGTTTCATTATTACTCTTCAGTCGTGAATTATTTTAAAACCCGTCTCCCATCTTTTCGGGTCCTTTCTTTCTTCTTAATCGTGCACTCTTTTCGCAGTGGTTGTGGTCGGTTTCTTGTCGACATCGTTATTTGTCCCGGAATGTTCGATTATGTTTCGTCTTCAAGTTTAAAATTATTAATTTTATCTTTTCGTCTTTTTCTCTCAAAGTGTATTTACGTTGCGATGAAAAGAGATAGAGTGAGTAAAACGGTGTAAGACAACATAAAGAAGAGGGTACATTTGTAGGTATGGTGAAGAATTCGCCTCTCTTTTGTTTTGTTCTGGAAATCCGCCAACATTGTAAATTAATCTCTCGTATTTAAAGTCTTGGTTTCGATGGCAACGCATTACGCTTCTTTGTTGTATTGATTATATTTCCATAATTTTGTTTGTATCTATTAGCAATGCTATGTCAGTCATTAAGATATACAAATGTTATTATTGATTCCAATATTAACATTTTTAACTAGTCTTAAAGCAGTTTTGGTCTGGTGGCGTCAGCGTGTGACTCTCATCCTTGGGATCGTAGGTTCGATCCCCGGCTGGGCTTCAATGGACTTTCTGATTATGCACATTTAACACTCGCTATGGTGAAGGAAAACATCGTGAGCTAACCCTTAGACCCAAAAAGTCGAAGGCGTGTGTCAGGCATTAAGTTAAGTAGGTTGATCATCTACTTGCCTAACAGTTACATAAATCTGAGGCCCAGACCTAAAAAGGTTGTAAAGCCATTGGGTATATCTGTATATATGCGTGAAACATGGTAATAATTTTAGATAATTTATGTTCGATTTGAAGTTGGTATTTGGTATTTCGTGTGACATACCAATAGAGCGTGGGCGATTCACACCACTCAACAGTAACTGTTCTCTCAAGGTTTCACGAAACTTGCGACATAGAATTTATTAACCTGTCTCTAATTAACATTTGTGTTAAGTTTGATAATGGTTCTGGGAACCTTTAGAAGTATTTGTATCTGGATAGTTTAATGATTCGATTGCAATACGATGTACAAATTGACTAATAAAATCGTGATAATAGACAATCTGTGCGAATGTATTTATGGATGACACACCAGCTCAACTTGGGGGACAGAATTTAATGGGCTCAATGATTGACAGGGTTTTTTTAAGATAAAAACAAGCCTAAGGGACGCCCATAAAGGGAAGTCATCGCAGCCCTTCGCATCCATTTTTAGTGGGTGCGTTGCCGGCCTTTGAGGGAGGAGTATACTCTTACTTCGAATAGTTGAAGGTCGTATCTCCCATGGAAGACCCCCACCGGGATTCGATTCATGATGACAAATTAATCGGAATATATAGTTACAGATTTTGAGGGATTTTTGTGAATTAACTTGCAGAATGGCTGACTCATTTAAAATTTACCTTTCAGTTATTTACAAAAAAATATTTATATACGTCCAGTCTAACATTAAAAAAATCACAAATGAAGAGCGTAGACGAGAATTCCCCGTCACTATTAATCTTCATAAACTAATACATATGTTAATCAAAGTTTCTATCAAGTTAACTTTTAACATAAGTTTATAAATGCACATAATAACACACACACAAAACTGTTAAAGTAATATTTCTAGGAACTATAAGTTTATATCGTTTTAATACGTAATTCTTATTCCAGTCTCGCTTTACGCAGCTAGCAATATAACCTTGGATGATGTAATGGTGTCTCTACGATTTGATCAAATGACAAGAATGATTTCTGAAATATAGTAGGATATTACTCATATTGCATACAATGGCATATCGTTCATCATTACCGAATATATTCATAGACAATTGTTTGTGTCGTCTTTGTTTTGTGTAATTTTGTTTGATTGTCTTTTGTCAAATATTAGCTAATACGTCCTTGGTAAGTGCGGAGTGATCACATCGTTTAAAGTCACTTCACACCTGAAGTCAGAATAAATATTGTTTTATAATTTATTTATTTACAACATACCTTTACAATATTCTTAACATTCATAGTAATAATAATAATAAATATAATTAGATATAAACCTATAGGTGTTGTAAGCTTATGAATCTGTATTCAAACTCATGTATACGAACGTGGTTTTTAACATTGGCCTCCTATTACATATATACATTAGGTATATAATAGGAGGCCTTTGAATCTTTCTAGATATTTGTGAGAAACGAAATAAATTCGGAGGAATAGAACTTGTTTTTTATATAATACAAAAGTTAGACATATGCTCTCTTAGACTTTATAGGCTCAGCTTATAAAGCTGACAACTTATTAGAACTCAAACAAAAACGGCCGGTAATGCATTTGCGAGCCCTATGGCATTATGTCCATGGGCGGTGGTATCGCTTAACATCAGATGAGCCTCGTGTCCGCCCGCCCCCTGTCTTTAAAAAAAATCAGAAAAGGCAGCGTTCGTAAGAAACTTTTCGTTTGACCACCATTTTCGACTTTGCAAATCTAAAATCTAGATCTAAGATCAAACTGACATGGTAGTCTTTTCAAAATCAGTATAGTGGATCCAGTAATTATACGATACAACCACATGAACGTTACCTCTTTATAATAGTATGGGTAAAAGTTAATAGACCAGCTGTCCACTCTGATGGTCCTGAAGAGAGAAGAAAAAAGCGTACCAATTCTTAAAAGGCCGGCTACGCACTCGCGAGCGCTCTGGCATTGAGTGTCCATAGGCGGTTGTATCAAAAAAGTTACCTCAACAATTTACTAAAGATTTAAATTCGTTAAGTTAAAAAGACTTAAAAAGACTATCAATTTAGTACCAACTTTTATCAAAGTGTTCAAGATTCAGTTCTTTTTGAGATATGAGTTTCCACCACCACAGTTCTGGGGATTCATTTATTTTCGATTTTTGAAATTATGTACTTTTATTTTCGTAGTAACCCCGCTTTAGCGAAATATTATTACTTTCAGAGCAATATCAGAATCACAATCTCAGATAAAAAATAGTTTAATTACAAGAAAGTCTAACAATCAAGTTTCTTTCTAGCTGTACCGCTATCATTTATTTTGATTTCCACGCTGAATTGATGTTCTTCCGCATTAATTGTCCATATCCTATCCATAATGATACATAATGTAGCATAATTAGTAAGGAATATTTCGCTTCAATTGATGGTTAAAGCTTTCATAGGCGGTCCTATTATTCCTTTTAAGATTTTCGCATTTTCTTTTCCACTTTCAATCAAGGTCGTTACGGTTAGATATGGAAAGTTATGTTATGTCTAAAATAGAGAGTTGAAGGCTTCCATCGAGAGCACTCTTTATACGACCCATGTAGAGTTACTATAGTGTACGAATACTGGGTTTCCGAAGTGCTTTAAATAATAGAGAATTTTAGTATTACTCTCTATATTAACCACTCGCGTAAAACAATAGAATATATGTGAAATAATGAAATGTCAATTGCTATGTAACGAATGAATACAATGTACCAGTCGAAGAGCGTGCCTACGTCTGGCTTTACTCTCGAGGCGTAACTCCGAAGATTTAGGAAATCGCCACGCTGATAAAACTAAGAAAGTCTGAGTGACCAAAATGTACCGCCTTGGCTTGTACATTAGAATAACTTTTTGAGATATGTCATGTCGTATTCCCCAGCCGAATTCGAAGCGTTCCTGGGGTTAAAGCTTAGGCAGCGTTGGTTGGTTTATTTGGTATTGTTCAGGTTCTTTGCAGCAGAAGACATGTCTTAAAGCGTTACCTGACAAATATTTTAGCTGTGTTGCACCGTTATTCCGAAGTTTTGAGAAGTCAAGAATAATAAAAAAATATGTTAAAGTTACATTAAGTCTTTAAATTAAGGGCGTAAAGCGTCTAACTGATAAAAACTCTCGTGTTGATGGCTAAGTTTTTTGTTCTACGGAATGCTTGTATGGAGCTGTAACCATAACGTATATAGTATTGTCTTTGATTAACATAAATTTTATTCATTTAATAAAACACTATTTTATTATACATAACGTATATGTTTTATAGTATATATAATATATTTTTTAATTTGCACTCCGTGGTTACAGAAGCACTGGGCAGCTTCGAAATACGCTGAGCCGCGCTCGTGAGTTGTGCGAGCGATGGCGCAGTGGAAGCAGCGCGCCTTCGCCGCCCACGCCCGCCCCGGACGACGAAGGCGGAGGGCGGCTGGCGCGATGGTTCAGCGTACGACGTGGTTCTACACATCAATATGATATGCACACACATGAGACGGATAAAATGCCCAAGTTGCCAGAGGTATGTTTTTCATGAAAATTAAATCTGCGGCCAATGGCCATAGGTCAAAATATGATAAATGCAATTTCATTACCTTACAGGACAAGCAATTAAATATTATTAAGAAATCTTGAAGGCACTATTAAAATATGAAACACTCGATATATGAATGAATGTACTTATCATTGTCTGATCTATGACCACAGCAATATATGTTTGTGTATTATGAGTAAAGTACTAGTTTCTAAGAAGATTTGCCGTTCTTTGCTGTTCGTAAATCGAATCCAGTAACCTAATTTATTTATATATATAAAAGCTTGCCAACACTCGGCACACTGATACATCGGTAGAAGAAAAATAAAATACAAATGTGACAAGCACTTAAAGGCAAACATAGCATATAAGAGATAATAAAAAGAAGTAAGACAAAACAATAATATAATTTATATATTCATGATTTATTTATTTAAGCAGACAATCATAAGTCCATGTGGTTTTTATTGTGTTAGTTACAATATTGTCGTAAATATAATATTAGTAGTTAACTTTAAGGTATATTAAAAAATAATGAACCAAATGTACTAACGCAAAAACATATAATAATATTTTCTTTATATTTTACTCATGATGATAAATCATAAATAACCAATGTTCTGGACTACCTTCTTATTATTGGAAGCAGTTCGTGGCTATTTATAAAGATAGGTGTGAAATCTTTTTATAGAAACCCGAGAATAAGTTGTTTATTCTATAGGAATTATAAGAAATTCGCGTAAGTTTACTTTTCAAAACCATGCAGTCGTAAGATTGAACCCCAGCTGTGTAATTTTGTGAAGGAAATTTGAATATTTACCAATACTTGAAAGGCCGGCAACGCACTCGCGAGCCCTCTGGCATTGAGAGTGTCCATGGGCGGCGGTATCACTTAACATCAGATGAGCCTCCTGCCCGTTTGCCCCCAGTTCTATAAAAAAAAAGACTTGTGACAAAACGACATGTAATACATCTGTATCACATGTCGGAGAGATCTCTCCAATGTCTTGGTCTCCGAAATGAGAATCTTCCATCGCTGTATCTGTCCTGTGCTACCTTTAAGCTGCTATAAACATACAAAGATGGAAGGATGCAAGGAACAAAGAAGGTATCAAATAGTTACTTCTTCCTTGCGTCTTTATCCTTCCGTGTAACATAATTGTTTAGCTTATAAGCTTTTCCAAAACACAAACGCCACTTAGAATATAAAAACATACACATACATATCACATCATGTGTATGTAATATTAATATACTCACTTCAATTTCTATAATTGTTTTCTATACAGGCCTAGAAGGCTGTTACCTATTTGCCTATTAAAAAAAAACAAAACAGATACAGAAATCTGGGGCCCAGACCAAAAAGGCAACATTGGTTTTTTATTCATTTTGATTATGCCATTTAGCTATATTGGATATAATTGTAGTAATTACTTGTAAAATTGTATTAATAAAATATGTATGAAGCCAATATAAAGGGTTGTGGCGCAATTTATATTATTCTTCAGAAGTTTATAGAAACACGGCGCCGCTAAATTTAACTGGGTCGGTACATCCCACAGTTAACCTTGCATACCAAATATTGTGCTAGGCAAGGCAGGCAAAATAACATAAAATGCATTTCAACAAGTTTCCTTGTATTACAGAGTTCTGTTATACTTTAATCGATTTTTATGTAACGGGTCAAACGGGTAGGAGGCTCATCTGATGTTAAGTGATACCGCCGCCCATTCATTCACATTCGCAGAGGTGTCGCAAATGCGTTGCCGGCCTTTTAGGAATTGGTACGCCCTTTTCTTGAAGGACCCTAAGTCGAGTTGGTTCGGTTTGATACTTTATTTTCCCAAATAATTACACGTGAACCTAAAACTTCATTAGCCAATTAAAGTATCAAGTATTACGTCACGCAATTTTTGGAGATTATTGACCCCCCCCCCATGTAAATGATATTAACAATAACGCGTAATTCAATTTACAAAAGGACACCCCCTTCAAAATCCGTTACCGTGTAATACTTGAACGCTCCCTTACGCACAACGCCACGAAGGTGATATATAATATATTTATATATGCAGAATCAGGTAGAAAAAGGTTCGAATGCATCATCAGATAAAAATTCATAACATTGCACAGAATCGCGAAGCCGGTTCATGCATGACGGTAACAGGGTCACATAAGGCAAGATCAGCATTCTTTGAATAGATTTATATGTGAGAAGTTTATGCCGGTACTGTTACTAATGGGATTGTTTATCTTGTTAGATTATATGTAAAGGCTGAAGTTTAGTGAATTTTTAACGGATGTATAATAATTTATTTATTTATTAACACTTCGTTGCATACAGACATATATTACAGTTGACATAGTTATATGAAGAAGAGGGCCTTGTCGCTTTCGAGCGATCTCAACCGAACGAATGTGAGAAAAAGAATTAGATAAGGCAAGCAAGAAATGCAATATATATAAACAAAACGATGTAACAAACCAAAGCAATTGAGCATATGTAAACAATTAACAGGAAAATGTAGAATAAGGACACATGAAAAAGAAAAAGTGAACATGAATCACGATAATTTTAGATCAGTTTCACAGCTGTTAGTAGGAAAGGTAGAAATTTAAAGGGAGATAATAAGAAGCTAAGCGTATAGAGACAGGAAGTGAATTCCATAGCATCACTGCAGAGATCTCAAAGGATTTGCAAAGAAAGGAAAACTTAGGAGATTTAAATTGTAACTAAAAGTCGTAGTAAAATATTGACTGTTTTACCTTAACTGTTGACATTAAAGTAAAACTGACCGTTTAGGGTTTAAATTAATAATCTTAAGTGCTAATCAGTGGTTAGTGGTGAAAAATGTACACGAGAACAGAGTGTCTTTAGTAGAGCGTGTTAGTAGTGTTATTGGACACTGTCTTTTGTTAAATATCCTTTTTAAATTAGGTTAGTTTTTAATTACTTATTAATCCCTAGTTAGGCTCGATCGTAATGTTAAATTGTGTCTTGAAAAAAACTATTAGATCATCGTGACACATTCTTTGCGTAAAACAGATGACAATTCAACGCTAGGGGAAACAGCTGCGCCATTGCCGGCACTTACAAACCTTCTGGCAATTTGAGTGTCCATGGGCGGCGGTGATATCACTTAACATCAGAGCCTCCTAAAAAAAATTCAATCCCATCTTACAATTTTATCATTAATTGTCTCTGCACAAAGATGTTATTTAACATTAAGATCTAGACTAACTTAAAGCGAGATGTCGATCTATGGTTAAAACCCCAAAGCGCGTTTCAACGGTATATTTGAAATAAGGTTGGTAACGGTTGTGCATATAGCATAACATTTTGCAATGAATTTAAAACAAATTCAATATTTTATTAACATTCGTAAAACCCTCGACTCGCATACCTGAGGTCGTAGGTTCGATCCCCGGCTGTACACCAATGGACTTTCTTTCTATGTGCGCATTTAACATTTGCTTTTGAAGGAAAACATCGCGCGGAAACCGACATGAATTAGAAACAAACAGTCGACGGCGTGTGTCAGGCACTGGTGGCTGATCACCTACTTGCCTATTTTAAAAATGATCATGAAACAGATTCAGAAATCTGAGGCCTCAAGAGGTTGTAGCGGCTTTATTTATTTTAAAACCCTAACGGTCGTTCACATGGGACTCGTCTCTTCAATTAAAATAGTATGATTCATTGAATGATCGCAGTCAATAAGATGGCGTGACGAGTCTAGATACTGTCCGCGTCCACGCTACAAGTATACAATTGTAATTTTTACATCAGTATATTTTTAGTTGTCATGTGTAACGTGCATGTGGTAAAGAGTGAACTATGTTTTGTGTTAGAATTCTTCATGACAAGGCGGAGTATTCGATGCTATTTGACGTAAGTTACTTGGGAGATGTGTTTGATAACAAATATTCATACAACACAGTGTCTGATACTTACTCATTGTAATGTACCGTGGGGGTTTTGTGTCGCTAGTTGCAGACTTTTGGACGCTTATAATCAGTCAGTAGAAGAGGATTGAAATGTGTTTAAATGTATCTGAATTAATGGCTATTATTATAATCTGTTGCAACGTTACTATAACATTTCACTAAATTTTTCTCTACTTTTTAAGACCTTCTGTCGATCCGAAGTAGTGTAGGCCTGATGACCTGTAACACAGGTACTCTTACCTTTAGAATGCATCAGTCTCACACAAGCATATTCCCTAAGTAGAAGAAAGTCATTTAATTATTATAGTATATAACTGTCACTTGTTTGAGAAAAATGAATAAAGATTATGATTATTGGTATTCATAACGTTGTTTATATAATAATAACTAAGCCTATACACCTTAATAACTATAAATCATAATAATAAAATTCCAAGGACCGCCCATAGATAGGCCTCCTTCAATTGGCTCCATCTCTATCTATCTTGAGAGTATCATTTTTCTCCCAATCTTCTTTGTTGTTTATATATCTTATAATGGCAGCATGTTTAATTCCACCGACTTCAAGTCTGCCTGCGAACTGCGAGTGTGGTATTTCATAATACAGAATGACGTCAGCCGTGGTTACGACCGGTTTATATGCATTAGTTACCGCGTGCCAACATTGAGAAAAATATTATGGAAGTATGTATTTTACGGTTAACATGCTTTTGTCTTGTTTGTAATTATAATTATGTTCAAGGCCGAGATGATCCTTCAACGATTGTGCATTCAATCTATTGTAAAATCTTATAAGAAGAATAACTTTGTTTATTTATTTATAAGTTCTAAAACATATATGCATAAAATAAAAAGAGAATATGACATTACAAATTTTACACACATACACATCAATTATATTAAACGAGCAATATATATATATATATATTTATTATTATATGTTTCTCTATACAAACTCAAGAAATACTGAACATACAATAAATAAAGCATTGTTACGTGCCTATCTCGAACCTAAGCCATTGGTCATTTCTTATATGCTT